TTTCTTTTTTTAGGATGAGACCCTACTCAACCTAGTGTATGACCTTTCAAGATTGTGGTATAACTTGGGACCAGCAGTTAGAATAATGGCTATGTCGCTGGACTCCCATGAGTCGACCGCGGTTCACGTCCCGGACCCGGTGGCTTAAAACTGACATGTGCGTGCGTGCCCAAGATCCTGAGAGGAGAATGGAGGAGAAGGGATTGCAGCATGGCCATTCCCCCTGGGGGGTGATGTCTTGCTTTCTGTCTCTCTGTCTCTCTCTGTCTGTCTGGCGAGCACACGCGCCCTATAGCAAAAACCTCTCCAAAAAAAAAAAGAGTAAGATTGTTATATAACTTAGAATGTATTTTTCTATATTTTTTTCCTTTTCCTTTTTATTGCTATGAGGCATGGGCGAGAGAGAGAGGAAGCACCTCTCAATGGAATGTGATTACATCACAACCCTTTATCCTCCATTTCTACATCCCATCAGGATTCTGAGCACACACACATACACCCAGCATGTTTTTCTTGCTACCAGGGCTGGGATTTGAATTGAGGTTGTTCATGTAGCATCTAGCTCCCCACGCACAGCACTTAACCACCACATTACAGAGTTGTCCCAGAGACCCCATATCCCAGTGCCCAGTGACTCAGCAAATGTTACCTCACATGTCTCATCACACCTGCGGCAATAGGTTGACATGTTCACTTGCCATTCACCCAGAGTGTAGACAAGCAGTTCTCTATTCCAGCTGCGTACCAGAGTTACTGAAGACAGTGTAAAGATCAAAGCTGAGGTCTCTCTCAAGACTCATCCAATCAGAAACTTCAGGTGAAGGCTGGGAATGGATGTGCTTTAAAAGCTCCCCGGGTGTTTCTAAAATGCAGTCATAGCTGAAAACCACTAATTGTGACTAATGCGGTCTGAGTCCCAGGAGAAAAAAATCCAGAATTGTGCTGCTGGAGTGCCTCTGGACACACACCTGATTTATCTAGGACATTAGTTCAACAATAAATCATACTGGTGCTTTGGGGAGATAAAAACCAGTAAGACTTGTCAGATTCAGACTCGTGTGTGCATATGTGTATTTGTGTGTGTGTGGCTGTTTTTACTCGTAGAAAACATTGCATTGTTGTTAGCGAACACAGGATTTGCTTTCAATCAAGCAGTACCCAGTAGGGGAGAGAAGGAAAAATAAAATGAAAGCAGAGGAAAGGCTGAGTGTGTCAACAGTGTTTTCTGACAAAACCAGCGGCTTTCATTTTGTTCTGAGCCCTCAGTGGAAGACGTGTCATCCAGAAAGCCAGGAACCAACTGTAGTTACCTTGTATGGACACATGACAAATTAAATGGCAATGCAAGCAGCAGGTGTTGAAGTATGCAGAATTTTGTTGTTACTCATTGCAAACTGATCCAATACCAAGCTACATGGAGAAACTAAATGGAATTTGAAATCTGCCTCTAGGATTCTCAACATTGGTAAATTCAATTTTGAAGCAAATTCAACTTTGATTAAGGACTATTTATTAAGGGCTTTGTATTGATTAAGAGTCTCCTATGTGTCAAGGCTTATTCTGGACATCTGGCTTATTTCAAGGAATATATAAGCCTTAGGGAGCTTATATCTCTGCAGAGTTTAAATTGTACTTTCAATGTCTATTTGAGTTGAGAGGAATGGAGCAGTAAGGAGAACCCTATTCTTGTTGAAAAAGTGAAGAGAAAGACCTTTCTTTTCACAACCCAAAGTGAGTAATTGCAAAATATTTAAATGCTTCAGGTGGCTGGGTTCACTATTCAGATGAAAAACATGAAGATTAGGAAGAACACATAAGCCCTTGCTGTCATGCAAGAAGGTAAAATTTACAAGGGGTGTTAAGTAATGTACAGAAAATAGAAAAGAAAATAGATGCAGGAACAGAAACCTAAGTGGGTAAATTAATTCAAGTTTCTGGATGAAAAAATAATTGGAACAACTAGTATTAACTGTTTCACAGGCCAAAAATTGTATTAGACTAGTTGGGATATTTTTGGCTATTTATACTCTTCATACCAGTGAGGTGCCATTGGACAGAGCAGAAGAAATAAACAGGTTTCATTGGCTACAGTTGGTCATTGACGTTCTGAATCAGCACTATCCAGTAAAAATCTCTGCATCAATGGGAATGTTCCGTATCTACGTCATCCAATATGGTAGCCACTAGCCTAGAGTTGCTAGATAAAATACTGATGCCGGGTTAAATTGGAATTCCAGGTAAACAAAAAATGTTTTTTTAATGTAAAAATGTCATATATCCTTGCTCTGAAATTCAAATTTAACTGGGTGTCCTGTATTTTTTGCCCTAATTCTGTCTACATGCACTTGTGGCTATTGAGTACTTACAAGAGATGGAAAGAGGAATTCAAGCTTAGCAGTTTTGGTAACTTAGTGGGATGACCTTCTAAGACTCCATGATCCCATCTTTAAATTGAAGTGAAACTTAATTTTGTTTTGGGGATAAAATCACAGAATGGTTTAAAAAGGGAGGAGGGGGTCTTCAAAGAAGTCTCCAAAGGTTCATGGAAAATGTATACTATTAAAAAAAAAAACTATGAATGTATTTCAAACCAAATTTTGCATCAAAACAAACTCATATTTTAATTCAATTTTTCTGCAAACTTTCTAAAGTCCTCACATAGAAAGAGATTTATTTTAAGGAATTAGCTCATCCAGTTATTGTTATGATTTGGATAATGGTTTCTTCCCTAAAAGTTCATGTTTTGAAATTTGGTCTTAGTGGGTGATGACTGGGTCTTTCCCAGAAATTTATGTGTTAGACCAAAATCTTAAAACAAGGATGTAAAGTGAAAACTTAATCCTTTAATGATGTCCTGGGGCCGGGGGTGGGGTGGGGGGCTTTGGGTGTGATCAAGTCATCATGGCAAGCCTCCAGGACTGAATTCTTGTATATAGGTAAAGGGCACTTAGCTCTGCTCTGTCAGTAATACTTCCTTCTGCCATTTTTTTGTGATACCTTTGGACTTTCCAGCCAGCAGAGTCATGCATTTTGTAAGTAAACCTCTATCTTCTTTATAAATTACTTGGTCTCAAAGTATTCCTGTTAGTGAAAGAAAGACTAATATGGTTATGGAGGCTAGGGAGTCTAAAATCTGTGAGGTGGGGAGGCAGGTTAGAGACCCAGGAAAGAATGCTGATGCTGCAGTTCAAGTACGAAGACTGTCTGCTGGCTGGATCCCCTCTTGCTCAGGGAAAGTCAATGTTTTGTTCATCTAGTCCTTTGACTGATTGGACAAGACCCTTTCACATTACACAGGGCAATCTACATCATTCAAAGTTCAAATGTAAACGTAAATCTCATTCAAAAAACATCTTCACAGAAACATCCAGAATAAGGGTTGACTAATATCTGGCCAGTGTGGCCCAGCCAAGTTGACACATCAAATTAACTGCCATATAGTTTAACTAGGTATGACTATACCCATTAAAGCAAAGCCCAAGCACTTTTCTCCAAATGAGGCCTAAGGATCTTCTGCCAAGACTATTGGCTCAAATTGGTAAGCCAACCTGGTTCACGGTCTAACAACTTTGGCCATCTGGCTTCACAGACACAGACAGATGAGGAAAAAATGGAAGGAAGCAGACAGTGAAGATTTGCTAGAGGCAGATGCCAGAAAGTATGACGAGTGACAGTTCACAGCCTGATGGCAAGGGGGAGACAGAAGATCTATAAAAAGTAGATAGAAGAACTATGAAAGTTCAACAGCCTAGGGCCTTCGAGTGTTAGGACAAACTGTTGTGCCTGTTTCATGGAGCAAGACTATACAACAGCCCAGTACTGATGTTAGTAATATACCCAAGTATCTAAATAACAGCTCATTTGGGTTAGAGTTTTTATAAAAATAGCTGGTGCCAGGGGTAAGATGGAAAAAAAGGGGTGGTTTTTGAAAAGGTGGGGAGAATGCTTGGTAGTCACTGTCTGGATGTCATCCCTTCCACCCCATACTCACTCCTGCACGTGAATAAAATGGATTCTCTATCATTTGTTTTTTAAAATTGGCCATTCCTCCTTTCTCAGGGGGACGTGGTCTCCAGATTTCAATTTTAGAGAACTATGCTGCCCCCCTCAGGGATGCGGCTTGGGTGAGGTTGATACTATTACCTCTTTTGTAGGAGTGGCCCTGTGGCTTCTGCTCATCTAGATGCTCTCAGTTTTCTGAACTTGGTTCAGAGCAAATCATGCATCTAAACTGGCAGTGGTGATCCAAGAGGATGTTTGCTGAGGGCCACCTTCCTTTCCCGGCTGGGTGGTGTCCTAGGACTGTATCCAAGGTTAGAGGTTGTCCTGGCCATACTGGCCACCCAAATAGTCTGAGGTCAGTGCTTCAGAAATGGACAGCTAGTTCCGAGAATTTCTCAAACTTGGCAAGTCATAAGAGCCCCCCTCCCTCTCTTGGAGATTTGGATTCAATAGGTCCATCTTTGAATTTTTTTTTTTTTTAAGTTTACCTATTTGTCCCACAAGTGAGAGAGAAGCCCTTGACTGTAAGGATCTTGGCGCTGTGATCCACCTCAACCCTGGGATTATTGGCATTGCCCATGAAGGTGGCATGACTGGCAATGACTGGGAATGTCAGAGATCATAGTGGACGCCCTGGAGAACTAGCCTTGAAGGCCAGGCCTTTTTGACCTTATGATAAGGTTGCCAGATAAAAATCAGGGTACGAAGTTAAACTGGGATTTCAGAAAAGTGACAAAAAATACTTTGGCTTAAATATTTCCCCAGTACTGCATGGGATATACTGAATCAAAAATTCGTCTTTCTATCTGAAATTCCAAGTTAACTGGAGGCCAGTACTTCCACTTGTTAATTCTGGCAACCCTGCCTTTACAGATGACCTGCCGCAATTCCTGAACCCAAAGGCAGCTGGACTTCCACTCACCAGGCGCCCGGGTAGATCACAGAGGGGTCGCTCGCTCCTCCGCCCGGTCCAGGCAGCACTAGCGGCGCGCCGAGAGGCCGAGTCCTGCTCGGAGCAGAGGGCGCCGTCAGAACCCGGCAGGCCGGGCGGTTGGGCGGTGTAGATCTGAGGGGCTTTTTCCCGCTCAGTGTGCTCAGGAAAAGCCAGGAACTTACTCGCCATGTCAACTGAGAAGGCTGGGGATATTTTCCACAGAGCCCGGGGCAGGACCCTGGACGCATTTTCCGCAGGTACCGCCGGCCCTTCGCCTCGGGGGAAGACTCAAGGGCTGCGGAACCTCCCGCCAGGGGAACCTTTGGTCTGGATCCCCGCTTCCACGCGGACATAATAGGGCGCTGCGCCTTGGGCTATGGGACCGCTATAGCGGCCGCACAGCCCGCGCTTAGAGCTTCCAGCGACTCTATTGAGAGGAGAGTTCAATCGTGGGGTTAAGAGCCTCGCTGGCCTTGACCTCACGTCCTCGCGAGAAGTAAGAGGAAAGCAGCAAAGCCTAGTGAATAATAGCCCGGACTCTGCAGCTAGGCCTGGTTTCCTGGCCCTGCCTGGCGTCTTTCCTTAGCCGGAGCTAGCCTTAGCTTCCTCATATGTAGAATGGGAATGACAGTTAAGGTTATGGGTAGTCCTGGATAAGCGCTCGGTGCCTGAGAAGCTGTTATTAGACTCGTTCGCCCCAATGTATTTTATACTCCATAATTACTATTATTGACTATAGCGTGAATCATTCACCGACGTTCACAGTGCCCTTCAGAACAATGGAGAGGGAAGACAGCCTAGAGTCGCGGTAGACTTAAGTGTTTGGACTTTGGATTTATGTTTTCTGCCTCTCTGTGAAAATGGGTTTGATAATACTTGCCTCATAAGGTTGGAAGCGTTAACAGTTTAAAATACTTCTGTAACCTAGTGTCAGACACATGCTAGGTACTAAGTGAATGCTAGGCCTTGAGCGGGAGCCATAAGTCAGGAGGGAGCTCTGTTCCTCCACCTTGGTTTGACTCTGGTTTTTTTGCTGCCTGGAGTCGATTTCTCTCGCAGTCACCAGCTTTATAACCACAGGAAAGTCACCCCAGATTTCCTGTGTGATCTAGCTTGTGTCCTCCATTCTTGCTCCAAGCTGCCATGCTCTCCCTTGCTCAGTTCTCCTGTCGCAATGACTGATTTTCTTGCATTGCATTTCAAAGGGCCAAGGCCTTTCCCTCCTAAGGCTTTGGTACCTGCTTCTCTCTAGTATCATTTCTGCTTGTAGTGTCTCCTTCTCACTCTTCATAGGACAATTTAAAGTTCAGTCACTTAGGCTTTCCTTGGCTATCTTAACTAAAGTAGGTTTGTCCTGTGATTCTCTGCTAGAACCTTGTTCTTTCCTTCTTTGCAACTCTTGCGGGAGTGGCAAGGTTTTGGAAGAACATTTGTTGCCAGAAATATAGCTGTGGTGAATTTGGGAAAATACAGTCTGCTGTAGTGCTATTCTCACATATTTTAATACAACTTGCCTTTTTCACCCAACATGAAGTTTTTGAGGTTTACATGTGTCGATGAAAGTAGTTGTGCTTCACTCGTATTCCT